TTCCCCAGTGGAGCAACTCCTGATTTACAACCGAGTGTCTGAAAAGAGAATCAGACCCTGCCTGTTCAATGCAGACTTTCAAAAAATTCAATTACATGGGTTTGGTCAAAGTTAGCATGCGAGAATATTTTTAAAAGCAAAGCGATTCTTTACCTTGAAATCTATAGAAGTCCATACACAAAAAACAGACCAACATCACCATAGGTATCTTGATGCCCCAATAAACACAAGTGGAGGGAATTCTAGCATCTGCAAACCGTTAATTCACCCTTTTCTTCTTTTTTTGTAGGCTTGCCAAATTCAATCTCCCGGTCACCAACTTCTTGGTCTGCTGAGACAACCGGAGAACTGCATCAGTGATGTCAGCAGCACCATTAATCAGTGCTGGACCAGGATGTCTCACCCTGGGGAGAAAGTCTCTTTATATCCCAGCCCACAAGTGTGCTATTTTTTTTTTTTTTTTTCCCCCTCCCTCCTCCTCCATTCTGCTGAGGATCCAAGAGGAAGAATAGAAATGGCAAAGAGCTGCATAACTTGTGGAAGGAGGAGGACCGTACTTCTGATGTGAGGCTGTTCGTTCCCAAATGGCAAAACAGTGGGTGTAACCTTGAGCCCAGTCTGTACACAATACTGCACTAGCGGGGAGTGCAAAACAGCCATTTGCATATTCAACATCTGTAAATCCCCAGTCCTCAGCATGCAGTTGGATCTCAGCCTCAAGGCATTTCCTCTCTGAAAAAACACTTTCAAGTATCATATGTGAACCTGGATGCCAGATCTCGTGGCAGGTGCTAATAGCTTTCACAAAGGCCCTCTCAGTGGTTCATGTTCAAGCTGTGTGTAGTATCTATGGCTTTGTTTCCCTTCCCAAACTGCGGAAGGCAACTATGGTTTCCAGTAACAAAGGCTCCCACCTCCTGCCATCTTTCCTCCCATCCAAATTCAACAGCCATCTTCCATCTCAGTTATGGCCTCCATCTTTAAATAAATAAATAAATAAACAAAAAGGTAAACATTCAAGACAGTTACATCACCAGTAGCTGTCTTCACAGATTCTCTACTGTTTACGGAGAAAATTAAGCACATTTCAGTGGTGAATCAGACCAAATATGACCTCAGCCATCTTGGAAATATCTGTCACTCTCAACTATAGAAAGTGATGGGTGAATGTTTCTGCCTTTGTTATCTTCTATAACCACAATGAGATGTGATGAAATTCCCATTGGAAATCCTCTCTGAGAAAGCTGGAGCAGAGGACTACGAACAGGTTCTGTATTCTCTCTGTGCTATCACACCCTTTAGAAAGAATTGGCATTTACCAGCATGTGAAAACACAGCCACAGCACTTGCAAATTGCTTCCAAGTCCCAGATACCATTTAACATTCTGACCAGAGAGTCTCCAAAGCCTTCTGCAAATGCTGTATGTAGCATTATTATTAACACTTTAGTTTACGACAACCTGAGTCATTACTGATGATGCTGACTGAGAAAAATCTCAGCAGAACAGGGAAGAAATGCACCCTTTCTGAACAGAGAAATAAGAATCATCCTGCAGTAGGAACAAAAAGAGAATCAGACCCTGCCCAGCAGGACTATTCTGTTTTAATGGCAGCATGCAGACTTCTACTACAGAGCATCCCAGGAATTTCAACCTAATCTCAGCCACCTATGCCTATAGCTGAACTACAGAGGCCCAGCTGTATCAGGTGGTGAGCCCTGGCAAAACACACGACTTCACTGGGAGCCGTGGTCACCCACATGGCCATGTCGTTTCACTGCACTGCAGATGGAGGAGCTGCCCACAGCTGGAAGAATGCATCCTTCCCTCCACTGTAGCACTGAGCCCCGTAGATGGCTCCATTCGCATCCTGTTGCGAGAGACACTATGGTGCTTATGTTTCACCACAGAAAAAAATAACTTTTCTTTTAAATTTTAATTAACCAGAAAAACCATTCTAAAGCCTACCGACTTGGCTGCTAATAGGCTTGAACTGAAGGAGCATCTGAATTTCTGAAGCAGTAAATCAAGCCCTGAGTAACTAAACTGACAGCTCTCATAAAAGAAAGAAAGAAATGCAACTAAGTAAAACATCCTAAGGAAATTATCCTTCAAATTAACTGCAGACATAAATTTATCCATCTGTTATCATATGTGTTACTTGAAAATTATTTGCCCATAAAAATGAAATAAACCAGAGTGATTTTTTTCTTAAACATTGACTTCATGTGTATAGTCTTAGTTGCCAAAATATTAACTCTTTTTAACAGCCCGTGTGCTCTTGGCTACATCTCTGTTTCTTGACTGTAAATGGGCCTTTATTAATCACATGGATATGTCAGAGCTGAAGCTCTTCACTGTTACTATGGATCAATAACACCTAACAGTACATGATGGATTTTCAAAACAAAGAACAAGAACAAAATCTTTTGTTTTATTCAAGTACTCTATTTAACTGCTTCTATTCATTCAGAGAGAAAGATTAACAGGGCTGTTACCTGAAAAATATCATTTAACCACACCAACAATAAATGGGGTTTCTCTGCTAGAGTATAGTTAGTGTGAATACAAGCATGGCAAGATTTCCACATTAAGCCTGAATACGGTAAGCCCTGGCAGGAAAAGAATGAAGTGTATAGGAAGGAGCTAGAGTTGTGCCCCATTTTACCCAAATCCTGTATTTTTCTTGGAGGGGATGAAGAAATGAAAATTGAAAGAATAAATGGCCATTTTCATTTATGTGTTTTATAAAGAAATACATTGGAAGTTTGAGCAGTTCCAATGAATTTAATGTGTGAGTAATGCCACAGGAAGGCAGGAGTGGGAATTTGTTGAGGTCTATTTCTTATTTAAAAAAAAAAAAATACTGAAAAAGCTTAATTTAGAATTAGGACTTCTGTTTTAGTATTTCTCAATGGAACAAAAAAACTTTTCAACAAAATAAAAACGGTCCATTTCTCTTTGTGTTTCTAAAAATTGGTCTAATCTCAACTCACTTGGATGTTCCAACATGTCCCCGTCCCCCACCCACTGCTCCCTCAACCCGAGGCCCTGCATGATGGCCAGGCTGTTGATGGCCATGATGGCCACGCTGCCCACGATGCAGCAGTACTCTCAGTTCTTGCTGTATAAAGGAAAAAATAATAATAATAACCCAGAGAAGAAAGAAGGAATTAATTGTGTGAGAATGGCCTGCAGGGATGGAGGGCTTCAGCAAGGAAGAGCAAAGGGATGCTAGAACAAAGCACCCAAAACAAAAAGCTTTCCTCAGCATCAATCCTGCTCTGGTTTTCAGTAAATCCTGCGGCCTGCATCTGCCCTGTCCTGTTAGAGTCAGAGCTGGCAGAAAGGAACCGTCCAGTGACAAAGGCTTCCACAACAAAGCCAAAATTGGGCAGCAAAAGAAGAAATGGGCCTTGATTTTTACAAAGCAGCTTTCACACCTGAAGCTGCTCAGGTGCCCTGAGTAGATGCACTCAGCTACAGGTGAGGGGGTGAAAGCCCAAACCACCCATCCATAGCAATAGCTTTGTAAGGAGAGCCATCTATAATGAGTACCCATTTAATTGCATTTCTGTTACCAGTACACACAAATAGCTGCAGGGGTTAGAATCTTTCCACTCTAAGATCCTGCTGTAAGCCAAAGTCTGCAGCAGATGTAAGCACAGAGGGGGGTAAGAAGGCAACAGTGCCATCTATCCTCCAGGCTTCAGTAACCTTCTGCTAGGGGCTTCCTGAACTGGGAATTATATTAGAGCCACCACATTCTGTAATCTCTGATAATCCTAGCTCCATGATTTAGACAAAATTTTTTTTATTATTATTAATCCCTATCCAACTATGAGCCACAGTGATGTGTTTTTCTACTGTAAAAAGTAAAATAAAATTGAGCAAAACTCCTCAAACCAAGTATGAAGAAAGCCTGAGATAAAATAGGCTTGGGAAAATGCAGTCTGGATACGCTCAAAGAATAAATACATAAAGATGCATCTATCTGTATTAAATCCTGCAGCCTTTAATCAAAATTCCCACCAAAGTGTGTAGTGAAAGGCAAGTCATTGCCAAACTTCATAGTGAGAGCCATGGGACAAGAAGCAAAGTTCTGTCAAAGATGAGAAATGGTTAGCAAAAGAAGGAAGACAGATCAGTTCTCAGCACAGAAATCTCAAATTGCCTTGAAGTCGGGGCAGCCTGTAAAACCACTAAAGCTGCTCCTTAGCATTCAGCTGAAAAGGGGCCTGAGCAGTTATTGTTTATGCTCTTATACCACAGAAACATTAACTTTGTTACAGAGCTAAAATAATTAACAGAGAAAGGACAGCTGCACATGCTGTTGCAGAAGTGCTACACACATCTTTGTTCTGCAGACTACAGGGAGAAAGTTAGAACATGCAGAAGGACACATCAGATGGTCCTTAATGATTTAGAAATAGTGGTATTTAGCTACACATATAACTCACACACTTGCACAAGGTCCAGAGACATCCAGTTGAGAGAAATGCACCACCAAGGCAGCAAAATCACCCATGTAGAAAATGCACATTAGTCCCAAGGTCTGAAACCCCAGGGCAGGATTCCCAGCCCACAGACAAGTCCCTACCATGGCAAGACTTGTGTTCCCATAGCCTCACCCACTCTTCCAAATTCAAAGATCCTTCAAGTACATCCTATACTCGCTGCCACAAACACAACCACAAACATAACAAGAGAAATGAAGAGTTTCATTGGGAAAGGGAATGAATGCAGTGGTGTGAGAAATGTTAACAGCTTCACGTTTCTACCAGGACAACCCAATGAAAAGCTCAGGAGCAGTCAAATCACAACCTGTCTGAACAAGATTCATTTCCTACTCAGCAGGTTTACGCAGACAAAAACCTTCCTGCTTTAAGGATAAATCCCCTAGAAAAAGCTCCCTACAACACCAGAAAGAGAATCTCAAAGCATTCAAATCATTTTACTTCCAACCAGAACATCCAAATAAAAGAGCACTTCACACCATACCTGCTCCGAAGGCAAAGAAGAAGCTCTTATCTGTGTTCTCCCGCAAAAGCGCCATCACTCTCTTGCCCATTCTCTCGTTCCTCTTGTAGATGAGCTCCTGCCTGAAGTAGCTGTCTATCTCCTGGGCTGTTACTTGCTCGTGGGGTGGAAGTGTAGTGTTGATGAAGTTTGGGACCTGCAATGGAGAGAACTGAGGCTCAGCTGGCGGCACCTGGCTCTAATGGGCTCATTAAAAGGACAGCTGTGAACAGTTCAGTAATCTCAGAAACGTTGGAGGTTGTAATCCAGTCTTACTTAAACCACCTGTGCATCACTGAAAAAACTCACCACAGTACCGTGGGCTTGTTCTATAATCTTTAATTCTACAAAGAAAAGAAACAAATCACCCAACAAACAAAAACCTGGCCAACACATGCTTTATTTAGTGTAACTGGCACCTGGCTGTAGCTGGGAAGGGTACAGCAGACTACAACTTTTACTAAACAGAGCATTTTGATTTTACTCTGTTCCTTAAGTAACCTGAGTTTTTAGGTGCCACACCTGAGCAATTTACCAGAACCTCTTCTCTGCATGTCCAATCTTGTTTATTGGCTGATTCATGCCTGAACAAGCCCTGCAATGCATTCTCAACCAAGGTGGTCATGACCTTGAGTAAGGACTGCAAGATTTGGCTTGTATATGCTGCTTCTTAACAATCCAAACAGTTAAACAACTAAGAAAGGTCAGCAAATCCAAAACCAGGAAGATGTAAACAGGATAAAACTCCTTACCTTTTTCTCAGCTTTAGATCTCACTAGAGAAGAACATGAACTCCACAACGTAAAATCCCTGAAATATTCCTGATATTTTGGGGCAGAAAAAGGGAATTCCATACCTGCTGCTCCGTCAGTCCCTTTTTTTTGGAAGGAGTGATGTTCATGCACAAAGAAGGATGGTGAAAACCCAAAGGATAGTTAGGATTTTTGCAGTAAGGGGAGCAAGCCTATGAAAAAACTAAGACTGAAGCTGTAAGGGGCAGCCATGCCACAAGTCTTTGATTACTAGAACAGGTGAGCTGTTTTGATGCAGGAGCCTGCAGCATGTTACAGTGGGCAGTGCTTGATGACTGCTCACAGGACCCCTCACCTTGGGTGATTTCCTCTGCCTTGCCACTGGAAGGCTGCTTAAGCTGCAAAACCCAAATTCAGATTTCCCAGTCCCCAGGTAAAAGTAAAGCTGCCAGGATTTCCAGCATTAATCTGAGTCAGCGGTAATGGTATTGCATGCACAGCCCATGAGGGGAACATCCTTCAAGCAGCATGATGAAATACTTGATGCAGCAGCGCTGTTGCTTTAATTCTTCCTCTGATTTTCCACTATACCAGATTCCTGAACTCATTTTCTTAAAACTTGCTTTTAGTCATCTTTTTTTCAGCTCACCTCTTACCCTCCCACTTAACTATATGATTTTACCACAGCAGTTTCTGCCTCTTCCCACATTCCTCACTCATATTGTCTCTCTAAAAGTTTTCAGCAAGTCTTAGCGAGAGAACTCACTTTCATCTTTCCAGTGGCTCTCCTTAAGGCTTTTCCACTGCAGCCTCAGATGTGCTGGGAGCACAGGGCAGCTGAGGATTCTCACCATGAGCTATTCAGAAGGACAGACTGAAGCCTTGCTGTGGGTTTGCACCAAAGGCTGTACCTGCTGGGTGAGCCAGAAACGGGCACAGCATCTCATGATGCTCCCATATGGGCAGAGATAATGACAGCACACCATAACTGCACTAGCCTGTTGGGCTGCATGGTCCATGTGGATTTTCCAAATGCAATCTGTTTTGCCAAATCACCACACTTCCCCCAGCATGTTGCTCTTTAAGATTGGGGTATATTTCCCTAAGTCACTCCTCCTACCAGGCTTTCCAGGCTGGCTTGGCTTCTTCAACGTGTCTTGCAGAGTCCTCAGAGCAAGAGAGTGCTTTGTACCTTGTTCTCATTTTAGCCCTTTGTGAACACTCAGCAAATAATAACAGCCCCATTAGGCCAGACCTACTGGAGACACCAGTTTCCTGTCACTAAACAAGGAAGCCGCCTTCAGCTGCTTTTGTCTTCCAGGGACCAGGAGCAGCCTGCTGGCACTGGAGGGGTAAAATACTGCTGGCTGCAATAGTGAAAGATGTAGGAGCATCCATTCCTGGTACAAAGCAGTGAGATAGGAATAACAACACATGCAATGCTTCAGGGAAAGCACTGTACAACTTATGAGAACAACCTGCTCCTACCCAAGGCAGGAGCAGCAGTGCTCATGGACAGAATGGCTTTGAGCAGCCCATTTAGGGGACATCTCCATTGCACTGCAGGAGGTTTTGTTCAGACCTTGACCACAAGGGTCTTTGCCAAGAAGCCAAGCACCCTCCTTTGGCTCACGCAGCTCCATCACTTGCAGTCCTACATCCACACTCAATTCACAATTTGTTTCCCCTCTTTACCAAACCTAAAACAGAATCCACAAAATGCAGCCATTTCCTCACCTTTTTTTCTTTTTTTTTTTTTTTTCCCCCTCTCTTTTCCCTCTGTGGGAAAGAGTTTGCTAAGGACAGAGAGATAAATTTCAGACCAAGGACTGGATTTTGTCAGCGTTTCTCATACTTGTCCAAAGAACGAGATGAAAGGAGGCATTACCCTTATAGGCACATCACCAGCTACAGATCCCTCTGCACCTTGTGCATTCCTGTGTTTCTAATGACTGCTCAATCACTTGCAAAAAATACAGCGTGTGTGTATGTTTGCGTGTGTGTGTGTGGCAGAGGCTGGAAGATAAATGATGGAAGTAAGTACAGCCGTACACAGTAGTGCAACCACACTCTGAGCTACGACACTGGCCCCATTAATCAGCGCTGCTCCTCCCTGTATCCCAGCTCCTTTCCATGGTCGGTGACATACACCATGCGTGGCTTCAAGGAGGCAGCTGCTCCTGTTGATTTAAGAAACCCTTTGGATTCCTAACTACCAGACAGGGATCAGGAAGTCAAGAAACAGTTGCATGCAATTAGGAAGCTGTTAACCACAGTTGGGATTAAATGGGTTGTTTTTTTTTTTTTTTTGGAGGGGGGAAAAAAGAAAAGCTGTTGTATTGAAAGGATGGGCTAAAGAACATGCCAAGGGATGTTTCTTTCTTAGTCCATTTCATCAAATATTTTTGTTTTGATTCAGTGTAAAACGTAATTTTTTATTTATAATATTGTCATTTGTCAATGCCAAAATATTGGCATTTGTTATTTCAAACTGAGTGAGGGATGAAACGTGCTGTGCCAAGGGGCAGCACACCAACCACCTCTGTGATAGTAGCTGTCTATTGCTATTAGTATTCAAATGCATCACAGGATGCATGATGGGAGTGTTGAAAATCCTTGCTTCTTATTTTGCTGCTCACTAAGAAAGCAGTAATGGGGTCAGCAAACAATCACACATCAACTGGGTTTTGCTTCCTTTCCAGTGGATGCACATTAAGAGAGATAAGAACAGGTTTTGTGTACAGTCTCCACAAGAAGATGTTTTTTGAGAACAATGCTGTTTTTTTGAGAAACCAATTCATGTAATGTACATACACCCATATTTCCCATGAAAACTCAGTAATATATTTCATGCACAGGTATTTAAAAGAAAGAACAATCTGTTTGATTGAATCAGCTGTAACTCTGCCTTTTTTCTATTCATATTTACCTGGCTCTATGGTTACTACAGTTAAGTATAGCTGGACTCTGAATCCAGTCATTAGGTACCACTCTTGGTATCTTCAGGTATACTCTGCATTTCTTTGTCAAGTTTTTGAAGTGAGAGGACACAAGAACTAAACAAAGTCAAGACCCAAAACCACCCGTCCCCCTGGTCTGTGTAATTTCATGTGAGTCAGCATCCTTGACGGAATATATGTGTGGGTAAAGCTCTACACACGTTCCAAGCTCACAGTGCTGTGGGATGTGGGCCATAATTCTTCACTTTTGAAGTCAGTAGGAGCTTCAGGAAGAAGAAAGAGGAAGGGTTGTGGAGTGGTTATGACACCACCCTGAAAAAACTGTTCTGTTCTCACGGGCGATACAAATCTTTTGCATGATCACAAGCTTGTCATTTGGGTTTAGGCCTTCAAAGGAAACTCGGCACTTAACATGCACTAAATATCTTTGAAGCATTTGGCATTATTCCTCCTGTCTCTCAGAATCCCATCTGTAAAATGGGGACAGCAAGACCCTCTGACTTGAGAACAGATGTTATGTAGAAGGCACTGGCTGAATCTTGTAGATGAGACCCCAAGGAAGATCCAAAGTCAAAGATGATGCTTAGCAGTAACCTCTCTTCCCACTGATACTTTGTGGAAGGAGACTGGGATTCTGCAGCATAAGAAAGAGCTAACTCCACACTTCACCTTAGAAAAAAAACACATTGGCCATATCACAGGACCCACATTACGCTGTCAGTTTTGTCTACAGAAAGAGGGAAAGAGGGAAGAAAAAAAAAAAGGAAAGGAAAAAAAAAAGAGAAAAGAAAAACATACCAGTGCAGAGTTTTTTTTTTTATCATAGTTAGGGCGTACTGCAAAGGTCAGCTGAAACTTCATAAACACTGAAGGATATTTAAGATATTTTCTTGTTTATTAATTTTTTAATATTTGTACAAATTTTCAGGGCAAAGGCAAAATGCCAGAGCTGTGAATATCAATCTAAAAGTAATTTTTTGGACACATCATATATTAGCACCACCAACCTTGGTTAACACTTTTTCCCCTGCTATGACCCTACTGGCTACAGTGGAACTGCTCTAAATTCAGTACGAAATCACAGTGCCACTGTTCCTACCACTATATGTTACATTTCTGACCATCTCCCATTCTCCAATAACGTTTTTTTAGCCTCATTCTTTTCCTGTGATCCCAGCCTATTCCTGGAATGTGTTTAAGCAATGGCATTGTGTCATCAGAACATCACTGATATCAAAATAAATGGCTAACAATGCCTGTGTGGGCAAAGGTTTTCATACTCAATTCTGAGGGGGATGGACAGGAGGAAGCTCAGGCAGGGAGACGGGCAGCCAACTCTCGCCATGGAGAACAGAGATTTCAGCAGCCCCATGTAGGAGCAGAATGGTTTCAAGCACACTGAGATGACCCATCCCCATATCAGCATAAGTCATGCAGCCCATCAC